ATTTTCTCACTACAGAGTAATTGAGAATTGCAGAATAAAGCACAAAGAAGTTAACATTCTTAACATAACTTTAGTAAACAGTTACTGAAGAAATAAAAATTGGGAATTGCTTATATGAGTCCTGCTTGTATTTAATTCATTAAAATGCACCCAAATAGTATAGTATTTCTAAAAGCAATAGAGAGTATACTCATTTATTAATTTCATTTTAGTTACAAGGAACTAGCATGGTCAGTCAGTCTAATTTCTGCCCCAGTGATATCTATCGCATTTTAAAAGGCCAGTGTTTGCCACAGAACTTGATCATGTTCTTTAGGAAAGTATCTCATCCTGAATGCAAATATTTCTAATGACAGATAAGTGACTTTTCATAAAATGTTTCAATAATGACTTTTTAAGGACTAAAATCTATTCTTTGTGTCTGAAACTGTGGAGCTTCAACATCCAGTTAATCTTCTGATACCTTGCTAGAAAGAGGTGCACCCATTGTTATCAGATTTTCACTCTGAATTTAAAGTAATTTGCAATCAGATTGCCCTTTAATATAACTTTAATGTATCTTTGATAAAATAAATAGGGAAAGGACCTAGACTTTTCCATAATACCAGTCTTTTCAACTTTCTAGTGGCTCTCCTCTAAACCTGATACAAATTTTAACATCATTCTTGAAGTGTGACCACAGGACACAGAATACAGGTCTGTTTCAGCATCAAACAAGACTGCTGACCAGAAAAGCACCTGAGAAGCCAAACATACCCTTTAGTCACAACCCTCTCTTTTGGGCCCAGTTTCTCAAGACTTTTTCAAAGACCCTGCTTTCTGATGCTCCTATAGGTCTACAACTGTAAAAATTCTATGAAAATATTTATTTACCTTTTCATAAGCCCATAACTTTAATTACTCTGAAACGGAAATATTTCTGCAGCTAACATGGCAAGTTATTCAGGTCTGCCAATAGCAATATCTACCCATTATACAGAACTTTTAAAAATTTTAAACATATTGCAAGTAACTAAATATACTTCAGCTCACATTACATGTTATGCTGGTTTTACAGACTTTTTTTCTATATGCCATACAGATTGGCATTCCTACTAACCCCCTCTTAATAAAAACATCTTACAGTATTTATCCCCTTATTTCCAGTGAGTCCACTGCCATGTGGACAGGCCTGTCACTACCCACACCATCTTTTACTGTTTTGAACACATTTGAGAAATCATGTCAAAACTTTTTCGAAACTAAAGTCATTCACTTGTGCTGGGTCATCTAGCTCCTAAAAAAAGTTAAATTCAAACCATCAAACTGCTTAAATTAGCTAGTACAGAAGTACAGTCATCACATACTGTCAAATAGGCTTTCCAGCACAAATGTTTTAAGCAGACTAGAAACACTTTACCTTTTTGCCTGTCCCCTCTAACTATTGAGCCATGACTTGTAATAGATCAATATCCATTTTCTAATTATTTTTTTCTTACCACATTTTAAAATGTCATCTGTTATTAATGAAGCTACTGATAGGTTTTTATCTATCAGGGTTTTTTTTTTCCTTCCTTTTTTTTTTTTCCTTTTAGCCTCATACTATAGTTCTAGCATCTGGTTACATCCACTTGGATTTTTCTGGTTTTTTGCGGATTTTTTTAACTTATCTTTTAGGTAATATCAGTGTTGCCTTCACTTCTATTATATCTTTTGGAAAGTCTAAAAATTGTTCTTAAACTCTTCCAAGTTATAATTTGTACTTCTGAAATCAAACCTTTTCTCCTTTTTGACAGAGTTCAGACTTGCTGTCTCTTATAATGACAAGTATGGTGGACTGAACTTGTATCCGCCACTGCAAGCATGACCACTGGATAATGACAAACAGAAATCCATTTCCAAATCTGCAAGCAATTTATCTTTCAAGATGCCATAGAATATATAATTTCCTTATATCTGCTTAACAATATTTTACTTGAGGTGATTGATATCTAAAATTTTCAGAGATTTTAAGGAAGTTCTCGTATGGAAGCATGAACCATACATTCAGTAGAAACCAGAGTGATCATATTCTCTAATATGATGGGTGATCCGTAGAAGCCATGTAGGAGAACTTCCTGTTTGTTATGTTTTAAAGCACTGCCCTCACATTCACTGACATCTTAACAATAATACAAAGTTACAGAACTATGTAACTCCATGTACCAAGGCAAACAGAAGACATAAGGCAATAAAATGACTTCTGCTTCCACATTTAAAAACTAAATATTTTTACATAAAAGGGATTTAAATCCAGTCTTGCTATTCTTGCTTTCTATTCCTTGGACTTTTGCTGTTGGCTATAAAAGAAAAAGGATTGGGTCCTTCACTGTGTGTTCATATACAGTCTATTGACCCTAGTTTCCATTATTTCAAAGCTGTTTCACTGGACAAGAAATTTTAAAAATTGAAGATGGAAACTAAGGGTAGTTGAAAAACATTCAGGTAACTCTCAAAGCAACTACACAGAGTAGGCAGTATCTCTGAAATTCCTTGATGGCCAATGAAGGTCACAAGACTGATCTGAAATATTGCTTCAGCAGAAACTCTTTGAAGCTACAGCACATTTAACTTTAGATTTTTGTTCATAAAAATATTCTAATTACAAAGACTTAAGAATGCATGTGAATCACTTAACAATGCAAATTTTCAAACAAAATAAAATTCTAATTAATGCCAGAAGCTTAATTTTTCAGTTCCTGGCAAGTACTGGCTCTGAAAGTCACAATATGTTCCCTTAGTGCTAAAAAAGGACATAAAATATTAGAATAACAAAACAGCTCTACTATTTATATAAATTCCTGAGTTGTCACAGTTCACATTATCAGTTGACAGCGACTTGTATCATGCAGAACACAGTTGTTGGATTCTGAGACGTTCCACCTCTCAGAGATTGAACTTTCCTTACCAAGGAGACCAGAGACTGCTCAGATAACAAAAAAATGTATCATCATCTGCCCTTTGAGGTTGTGCCTCTACTGATAGTTGGTAAATTTGTTGAATTTTTGGATGTTTTCAATGGCTCTGTTTGTGCTGTGCTAAAATACGTTTCTAAATAGGCAGAATATTTCATGCTTTGTTATTTTGGGTTTTTCCAAAAAACTGAAAGAGGTTATCTTTGTAGTGCATGGTTGAAAATGATCTTCTGTTGATTGCTCCTTTTACCATGTCAAGTGTAACCAACTTCATTTCATGTGTGATGGAGAATATGGGATGTGGTATATAGCCATTTCTCTTCTTCATATCTATTATACCCATGTAAAGAATCAATATTTAAACAAAATATAGATGCTGATACTGGTGGTCATCAGTTTTCAGAAGTCAAAAGAAATTTTCCCACATTCAGCTTTGATTTCCATCTTATCCCATGTCAAAGCTATCCATAAATATTACAAGAAGTGCACTCATTCTACTGTTGAACTGAATTCTTTCCCAACAAAACGAAAATATCACCTTTTACTCCACAGTGTCAGAAAAGATCTCAGAAACTTCTGAATAAGGTAGCACATATAAAAAGCAGTAACAGCCCACAAAATGCACATTCAACTATGCTGAAAAACACTAAAAAAATGCAACAAAAAATTACAAATTTCAGATTGATTTTATTTATAATAAAATTAAAAGCAAGTCATATGGTAAATTCTGACAGCCTTTAAATCTGCTATGCATCTAGAAAAGGCCATTCTGCTACATCACAGATGTATTTTGCATTATTTTACATGTACAGTAGCGTAATTACTAAACCTTATTTTCATATAACACCATAGTGCTTATACAGAATATCAAGTTCTTTGTGTATTATCATGAAAACATTTTAAATTATATCATAATAATTAGATATACTATGTCTTCATTTTTGTTTGCATTGTATTTTACAGCTACTGGTTTCAGAAAATTGCCATTAGTTTTGTTCTTCTCTTCATGAAGAGCATACAGTAATTTGCAAAATCAAGCAAGGATGAAAATGTGATTGAAATATAGGAATTTTTCTAATGAAATATTATTATTGCATTATAAATTATTGATAGAACGGTTCTGGAATTCTCTTCTGATGTGCTCATCCTTTTGAGGGAAAATTTCCATAAGAGATACAGCTATTGCTAGAGCGTGTTTGGCTTCAGATGCACATTTTGCAACAGTTTTATTAAATTATGGTCAATATAATGGATTTTTAAGGCCTATTCCCAAGTCCATGCCCATGAAAACACTGCATTCAACTGCAGAATTGCCTAATTGAGAAATACAATTTACCCCTTTGCCTTAGGTACTTTTACAGTACAAGAGAGGTTTTACATATTTATATTGAACAGATACTTGAAAGTATTGCCATATTACCATTACATCTTAGCAATGTTATGCTTGCACCATCTTCACTTACATAGCAGAAAATGTTACCTTAAAATACTGTTTTAATATGAAGTTCTAACGCTCCATTGACTGCAGTCTGAGTTTCTCCTTCCACTGAAACCAATGACCAGGTGTGCTAAATTATTTCTATCAGGTTCAAACAGGTAAGAAAAGCTCCTTGAAAATGTTAGTAGACATCATACATATTTTTTAAGCTAAACATGTTGCTAAATGTCGGCATAAAGCTTGAGAAGAGACCAAACCATCTGGGTGGTCTTCTGACTTCAGAGAACAGAGAAGTGCTTCTCCCTTAATCCAACCATGGAAGAAAGAACTTATGGAGAAATTTTAATCCTAAAATTCTAAGCAGCAATAAAATCTTCCTTTACATCAAACAAGTACACAAGATATTTTATGTTGAACAATTTACAAAGTAGTATAACAAAAGCCATTTTTTTACTCAAGAATTTCATCATAGTACTTACCTCCCAATATCCTGGAACCCAAAGGATCATAAAAGAGACAGGCTACTACAAATAAAAGTAAAGCATAACAATCTACTAAAATAATGAAATGAACAAATATTGTAGTCTAGTTCAAGGAATTTCTCTTGGCTTTCAGTTGTTTTTCCCTACCTGGCCCATCCCAATCTTCAGTCTCCACAGCAAGCTGCCCTGGTTTCTCTGACCTTGCATCACCATCAGATTCTGCTGCCTCCTGGATGCCTTCTTCATTGCCTGAAAAACCATAAAAAAATACCGTATTCACATATTCCAATAGTGACTTTTAAGCAAAGCTCCCGTAATACTCAAACAACTGCTTACATGACTAAGTGAAAACATACGTGTATCTATGAAGAGAGAGAAAATGAAAAAAAAAAAAAATTAGACACATAAACATTCACGAGTTCCCACCGACTCAAAGAAGCCCTGAGTATCCAGTACTTCCCGTTCCACGCAGAGAAAATCTTGGAAAACTGTTTACTCCATATGCTTAAAAAACAGAATCACAACTTGCACCTAATTGTGTTAACCAAGGCACATAAAGTCACCGAGTCTGTATGTACAAAGGAGAGACAGAAATCAGCTTGTGAACCCCCAGGAACTTTTCAGCTATTGGTTTTCTTGAATTGACACCTCAGTGTTTCTTATGCACTGCAGATAAATGACACGCAGAACAAAAACATGGTCCACTAAACATTTTGCTTTTTCACACAACTAGTGAAAAGCTAATCCATAGTATTTCAGCATTTAAGGAATTTGCCCTTAAAGTTATAATATACCAGCAGGTCCCTAAAGTAATTTTCTCCCTATAAAGCTTTATTTAAAGAAATAATACATCTCTGATAAATTTTCGGATTTTCATCATCCAGAAGTACCTGAAAAAGTCCATCTGCCTTCTGTTACTACCCACTGCAAGGTCATATACAAGACACACAGAGAGTTATGATAAGGTCAAATTTTTGGAGATGACCATTTAATTTTTATTTGAAGAACTGCTTGTTGAAAGTGCAGTTATTTCAGGTAAACAAATAAACCAGGCAAGCTCCATGCCAAAGTACTTTGAAACAACCACTATGAAAACTATACTGAAGATGAGAGGTTCAGGTATGAACACAAAACAGTCTGGCCACAGTAACACATTAAGTTACATCTCTAAAGGCTTTTCCAGGTTTGGATTTTACTCATTTGTAGATTTTTTTTTAATTTTTTTTTTTTTTTTTAATATTAACCTACTCAAGAAACTCATGCATGGGAAGACACTAAGAAAAACTGAAAGAAAAAAGCAAATCTACGCAATTAACCACTTCAGTCAAATAGGATTGATTACGGTTTAATTTTTTGTATCACACTTGAAGGACACTTGTTAAAAAATGATCTCCCACAAAAAAGTGACAGCACTAGAAAAACAAATACCGTGTATTTTACAAACTGAAAAATCAGACCCTTTGTTGATTTAACAACAGGAGACCAAGAAGGAGCAAAAAGCACAGCAATTAAGCAGTAACTTTTAATTTTTTCCCCACTCATGATAACAAAAGCTTTAATTAGCAACATAGGTAAAGAAATGTGATTACAACAAACTATGCCAGATCCCCATACGTTATCACTGGAGCTATATTTATACCAGATAAGATTGTGACCCAGAGTTTTCAAGTACATGATTATATACAAACACTATAAAGTATTAACTTCATGTGCACATGTGATGTCTCGTAATAATACATTCTTCCTTGCATTCATAAAACACAGCTTTTCAAATATGAAGTCTAAGAAACTACTACTCACGCAAACACAATACTATAATCACTCCAGAGTTTGATTACAAAACTATAGTTCAGTGAACTTGTGGTACTAAAAACATATTCCAGAATATTCATATGCACTTGTAGTGTGTAAAGTAAAACTTGAATACAACACAAATACCTAGTATAATTTTTGTTTTAAATTGACTGTATAACTATAGCCAGCCATTTGAAGTTCACATGCTTCAGCTCAATCTGACATCACTTTTCAGAAGAAAGTCCTAAATGTACTCATGTGCTGAAAAAGCTATCAAGTTTCTGCTATGCAGTTTTAGCAATTATTTGGTTTTAAGCAACTGGCCTATTTTGAATTAGCATTTGTATAGTTTCTTTGTAGTAATCAGATCTCTGCTTTCTTTGGGCGGACTGAAGAACCTGCTGGACAATTTTACCTCCATTTTTCTATATTCATAGCAACTTAAAGCAGCAAAAATTTGTCTTTCATTGAAGAGACACAAAATAAATTTTTCCTAAGTTCAGACCTGGCATGATCAACTCCAGTTCTCTCTAAAATGTTGGAAAGCACTTCACAACAAGGGCAATTCTTGTTTTCTAACTCAAGGTATGTAAGTAACACAGTTCTTAGAATGTTCTTTGTATAGAATGCAAATGTTTTTCTTCCACTGTATGTAACAGAGCTGTATGTACTAAATCAGAACAACAACAGTGTAATCTAGAGATAGTTATTCTTTTAGACAGAAAAGAAGCACAGATAATTGGGAAATTTAACCTCCAAAATACTACTTTCTCCCAGGTTATAATATATGCCAACCTGGTTTTAGCTTGCAAATTTCAGCATTCTTCCAGTCAGTGCAACTAACCAGAACATAAACAAGTGAAACTATTAGAACTAAAAGAGGACAAAGGTAAGTGAAAATATTGGGATGAAAAGCAAAAGGACAGAACAACTGCTAAGGTACAAAAACTATAGTACACAGTAATTAAGTACTTGGAAGATGAGGAAAAATCTGAAAATGTATGCTAGCACATGACTTAACTTTCCATTAACTTGTGTTTTCTGTGTTTCATGAAGTATAGTTTGGTTTTCACAGTCAAGTTTTAATTAATTGATGCATGTCTTGTGCAAAGAGAGTAAATAAAATGTGTAGAATTTACATTAAGGAAAACTTTGCTCTGCATCTACAAGTATTCTTAATTATTTTCATTGATATTTTCTACTATTCCCAACTGCCAAGTGCATGCATTACACACCTGAAATATCACCACACTGATTTCTCCTGCTCCCCCACATGACTCCAATCTACTTGTGAAACCAACAAATGGTACATTACTGTCAATTTCCGAATCCATCAGGGAGTGAAGTCTATCCCAGGCTCAGCTGAGCATCAAGGTCAGATTGAAATGGGCAACCAAGACAACACATTTGGTCCGAGACACTGCAACTTTAAAAAGCCAAAAGGAGGCTTAGCAGAAGAGCTGACAAGAAAGCACATCTCTCAAGCTTTTTTTCTTTTCTTTCCCCATACTTAAAACTATTTTAGCAGCTAGCATTTGTTTAGCACAAAGGAGTTTATTTCCTCTCAGAATTTATTTTCTTTCCATTGTTTACTCTTTCTGTTCAGTCACTGACTACTTTTCACTCTCATTAAGACTATTTTTCAATATTCATTTTAGAACTGATTACATTTTTCTTCAGTTTACAGGTGTAGACATTTAACTGGATCCAGGACATTAATTATTTCTTTCTTCCAAGTCCAATCATGTCCTTTTTGCCTATATATACTACCCATTTGCTACTAACCTGTTGATTCCTTTCTAATCCCATTATTTTGGATTTTCTCACACTTTTTGTTTACTTTGCTGCTCAATTACACTTTGTATTTAAGTTAAAGGGTAAATAACTTTTTCCCATCAACACCAAAGAGTGGTGTAAGTACTCTAAAATGAACCAAAACCTGCTTTTGTTTAAGCAGGTTTAAGCAGTTGCTTCTTAGCAACCAAGCCTGGTAAGTGAATTCTCTCCTTTAAATGACTGTTGCATGAAAAATACTCATATTATACCATAAACTATGTTCAGTAATGAGTCAAGTAAATCTACTGGAATTTCCACTACTTCTCTATACTTGGTATTAAAGTTACACATTTGGCAGAACTCATCACCTCTAGCCTTAGATGCCTGAAAGTTAAGGTAGTCCGGACTGCTTACGTAGACATTCCTATGGGCAGGGAAGAACAAAACCTCCTGAGTGATTCATCCTATTCTAGGATGAATCTAGACCCCTCTTGGTGTCTGAGAGAGCTGAAATGAATCATCCTCTTAAACACACAGCTTAGACTAGGAACCTATCTTTAGTCAGCTAAAGTTGGGGAAAACAAATCTGACTTATGCTGAAATGCTGAATACACAAAATACTGCATAACTAAAAAGAAAAAAAACAACCCAGTCTTATTCAAACAACTTCAGTGTGTAATGTGGATAGAATTTTCATCTTGACCTTATAATTTCTTCCCAGCATTGACTGTTTCTGTTGTCTTCAAAAACAGTTCAAGATTTTAATGTGGTTTAAATAGCCTAATGTTTATCCAACAGACAACTCACTGTAATTCGAGGTGGTAGAGCTGGTCAGGAAATCTAAAGACTGTAAAAGAGACATACTACCAGAAACATGAGAGAGAACTCCAACTTCTCTGACAACACTGACAAGCAGGAAAAGAGAGACTTGAATATTAACAAGTAATTTCACTTTAATCTTTTTAACAAATTAAAGACTTCCCAATTTGTACTTAATCAGCTTGTACCACAAGTAGTTGTGGTATTTTATAGAAGCACATGGGTTAGCAGTTCTTCTCAAGCCTGCTGTTTTAATCCATGTTGTTCCTATCAGTATTAGGCTCTTACAAAAAGTCTCATACAATATAACTATTGAACTTTCTTGACTGGGAATGTTATAGCTGCTGTTAGGCACTCTATAATGCATTTTGCAATCAGCTAAATCAACAAAGTATTTTTAACAATGAACAGTTCAGAACTGACAGATCTGCTTTCTTGTTCGCAACTGCTTATCACGGCATAGATATCACGTATGTTTACCAGGTGCTTCCTATAGTTAGGATACCTTCACAGAAGCCACTCACAAAAGATAAGGTCACAAAAGAGATGAAAAACGTGCAAGCTTCATACACACATGACTTTATCATCAGACAAAATAGCTTTGGGTGAAGGACTGTAAGTCACAAAAAGCAGCTTCTATGAAAGTGAGAGAACAATAAAAGTTTGAAATTCAGTTTGTTCTCCCTCTTCTTGGAAGCACAAATGTAAACTTAAATTGTTAACATCCTCATACAGCTGTTCAGAGTGAAACATCACTTCTCAATTACAATAAATCAGTTCAGAAATAAAGTGTTGCAAAGCCTGTAGCGCTCTGTATTGCCAAAAGAGAAAATAGATGCAATGTAAAGACTTGGGGAGTC